TTTTCTATATCGGAGCTGTAAAGTAGTATCATGTTGGTTTGGATTTTGGTGAGTGAAGCGGTGTAGACATGGAAGTTACTTTTAATAATCAGAGACTCTCTTCTATGTCATACAGATTGTTTAAAAACTGACAGTTATTCTCTCCAGCATTTGAGTCCACCAAATGTTCTGAGTTATTTTCTGTTATGACGCTTTTATGATCACTGCAGAAATATGGCTTCAGCCCCATTTCAAGAAGACCCATTAGTTCTCATTCGCGAAGTTTCATTGCCGCGAAATAGTAACAATAAGGAACTACAAATGATGCTTTGTATCCGTAGATTTCCTTCATTCTTTAATACTAGACTTCTAATGTGAAGCAATGTACTGAGAAAGAATGAAAATTGTTTCATCCACTTGTAACTCACTCTGTTCCAACCTGGAAGAATACAAAAAGGAAAAACAACACAAAAATTATTTGTGGACATGAAAAAAGTGACTCTTCGATGGTGCCAAATGTACCAGTGGGTGAGTTAACACTAAAAATTAGTTTTATCAACTGAGTTGAAGTTTGCCACCGTAGTAGATTCAAAAAACGGCCTTTCAAACACTAAGGATGTTCTTTTTAGTAGATGCTCATATGACTGCATCCCTCTTGAGTTAGCCTGCGTTCGAAAGGGAAGGGGAAGGGAATTAGGGCGCGAGACACCGCGCGAGGGAGGAGGGGAACGGAGAATTTACGATTGACGTCAAACATACATTAACAGCAAACGTCGTCCAAACAGGGGCACTCATTGACTTCTTTCGAAGGAGGAAATATTGCTAAGAAATTTCTAAAGCTCGAGAAAGGCTAAACCGTTCCACTTGCATAAAGATATTTGGAGTTTTTGTCTTAAACTACCTACGATTTTTGAAGGTTGTGTTATTTTTAATTACAAAGATATATATGGCGATCAATGTTAAAAAAGGTCTCCCCAAAAATTTCGGTACAAAGACAAAGCATCCACCGAAAATTCTCCAATGAAAGTAAGGCTAATCTATGTGCTCGAACTTTCGACTGGACACTCCAGGCTACCAAACAGTTTCGGATAAGACGAAAAAGTCGCCCAAAACTTTCGAGACGACCACAGTTCCCCTTAGACATTCGAAAAGATACACAGTTTATAATGCAGGTTCAAATTTACCAAACAGTTTTCAGACGACACTTCTGACGTATTTAGAAACATTCGGTCGTTTGGTGCCCCTGGTCCAACGTTGATCCACGCTTGTTATTCATTGTTGCTAATAACACTGTTCTGGTATTCAGACTTGGTTTTCTTCCCCTTTTTAATCTGGAGTGACTCAATTTTGGTGACGTAATAAATGTTCTAACTTTTGACAATGAAATGCGAAACTCTTGATAATCAAGCAAGAATCTGATTAGATTCAATGATTTAGCTATATTTCGCTACTTCCTACTATTTTGGTGTCTTTGTCAAGAGGGGCGTTTATTAGAGAGAGGAGTCTAACACAAACTCATAAGCGCAGGGGGAAGTATTAGAGAAAGGGCGTTTATTTGAGAAAGGGCGTCTAATACAAACTTATAAGCGCATGGGGGAGTATTAGAGAAGCGGCGTTTACTTGAGAGAGGGCGTCTAATACAAACTTATAAGCGCAGGGGGAAGTATTAGAGAAAGGGCGTTGACTTGAGAGAAGGCGTCTAATACAAACTTATCAGCGCATGGGGAAGTATTAGAGAAGGGGCGTTTATTTGAGAGAGGGCGTCTAAGAGATTGTTTACGGTAAAAAACAAGTGGCTGAGGTTACTTCATGTTTAGTTTCAAATTCTGTTGTTTTGGCTTGCTTTTATTTTGATTTGGTCTTCTAGGTGATGATAAAAAGACTAATTACTTGGGACGAAAATTCACATGCTAAAGTGAGAACAAAATAGGTTCCAGTCAACTTATTTTGTGAACTATTGTAGCGTCAGTTTACTGGGTCAGATCTGTGTTTAAATTCAAACATTTTATTCCGAAAATGTTGAAAGAAGAATATCACGAAATTTGGAGAAACCCAAAAATGTATTTGAAGTAACGTAAGATTACAAAAATATTCCGGTTTTCATAATTGGTGAGGGAAAAGAGTGAAACTGGCCAAAAAAAAAACTTTTTTTAAATCATCGTGTGGCTTTCGTTCCAAGAATTCATTCCACGTTATATTAAAGAGCCTTTTGTACAAAGAAGAAAAAAGGTACTTGCTTATCGACAAGAGTTTCCCTCATACCGGCTGCCCCTTGCATACTTACTTGGCGAGGTTAAGTTTAAGTTTTTTAAGTTGTTCCCTTTCAGCAGGTAGAATGAGTTCCTGTAGTTCAGCTATCGCCTCGGCTGATGTCTCTTCACCATGTTGGGCCTTCAGAGAATTTATTGTGGCTTCTAGTCTTTCCTCTTTTTCCACCAAACGCCTTGAATCACACAAAAAAAAACCCTGATAATCAATCAATCCTTCTTTATTTCGTAATGCTCACATCTTTAAAAGGACATATCGAAGAAATGGTTAACTGTTGAATCAATTGAATTTCTACTACCGTAAATAGTTTTTCTTTTCAAATAAATCAAACATGATACCTGTGTTCTTGAACTTCAGTTTGGCGCCTACTCATCAGATTTCCAAACGCCTGCGAACAGAAAGAAGGCTCAATCTTAGCATAAGCCTAGCCTCCACGCAATCACTTAGCTAATCAAGAAGCATTAATTTAATCAACAGGCACGATTACTCGTAACTGTGCAAAAGTAGTAACGCTGTAGCTGAGTACGCTTAGGGAGAGACCATTATTTTTTCTGGAGGAGGGGGGGGACATTTTTTTTAGAACATATATATCTCCGCAAACATTTTTTTCCATCGTCATCTTCTTGAAAGCAATTTTTTTCCATATTTTTGTTCGGTGTTCTTTTTCTTTGTGCTAAATATTACCATTGCCTCGATAAACTGTTTTTTGAAGAACCCAATCAGTAGTGCTATAGCCACTTTATATTGTCGATATACGCTCCACTCGCCTTTTTCAATTTTTATCAGCTACTGACGCAAATAAAGGGCAACCAATAGGAAATAGCCAAAGGGAGTAGCGGGCTTTTTTGCGATTCCACAGTACCGAAGTCCTGATCTTCTTTGATGATGTTCCCACAGGCCATCATACCTTTACCACCTGGGCTGTGGTACCCGGTGNAACATATATATCTCCGCAAACATTTTTTTCCATCGTCATCTTCTTGAAAGCAATTTTTTTCCATATTTTTGTTCGGTGTTCTTTTTCTTTGTGCTAAATATTACCATTGCCTCGATAAACTGTTTTTTGAAGAACCCAATCAGTAGTGCTATAGCCACTTTATATTGTCGATATACGCTCCACTCGCCTTTTTCAATTTTTATCAGCTACTGACGCAAATAAAGGGCAACCAATAGGAAATAGCCAAAGGGAGTAGCGGGCTTTTTTGCGATTCCACAGTACCGAAGTCCTGATCTTCTTTGATGATGTTCCCACAGGCCATCATACCTTTACCACCTGGGCTGTGGTACCCGGTGAGAAGGCAGGCACATTGCCGATTTAAAATGATTGCCATTGCCATAGGTCACACCAAATAACTTATAAGTAGTAAGTGACCCATTTAAAGCTTTGATGGTGATATCATCAGGAAGGTGACTTCTGAAATGCCCCCTTTTCTAGAAAGAATGTCAACATTAAATGGCAAGGCAAGTGGCATTCCTTCGATGAAAACCCATTAAAGTTCTGACCTTAAGCCGTCACGTATTAAACATCATCCGTTATGTAGCATTATTTTATGTCGTTCAAGTAATTCATTGACTTCTGAAATGTGTCAGTAGTATTATGATATATGTAGCAAAGTTTGAAAAATATTATTTGTTTAATCCAGTTTTGAGAAAAATACCTGGTATATGAAGTTTTGCAGTGGGACAAAATATTGACAAGTAATGTTGAGATTTAATTGCCACAATAATTCCCATTGTTTTTAAAAGAAAGAATCAGCTATTTTCAGATTTGTTACACTGAGTGACCATTCGCGAGCGTAGTAGTAGTTATCTACCCGTCCGAGAATTTTGGTAATCACGTGACCGTACGTCCGCTCGTCCGTCCACACCACAGGCATGCCAATGTAAAATAAATCAATAAACAGGTATGCCAACCTAAATACAACTCAAGGTTATTTTGGTAGGAAATCGCATAGCCACCCGCGTCTTGTAAAGCAGAGACAACTAGTGGGTCAGTAAAGACGAAAACAGACAGCGGAAATTGAAAATAGAGAAAGATAAAGACAGAAAAAGAGAAAGTAGGCGACAGGCCAACGAAGCTCAATGAGAAAAATAGCGGCAGAGAGCTAGAGCGAGAGATAAAAAACAAAGGAGGCATTTTTTGTTGGAAGAACAACATGAAAATTTTATAGCGGTGGTGAGAAAATGAGAAATGCTAGCGACCACCAAGGTGAAAATGAGTGGCAGTTGAAAAATAAGTGAACAAGAGCACGTACGACATTTCCTCCATAAAACGTGTAACTAGGAAGTTTCTGGAAGGTTCACGTTGTAGTCGTGCAAAATAACGGCAAAGAAATGTAGAAAAGAAGTGTGCTGCACGTGCAAAGTTGTTTTTGGCTAATTAGACCTATTGCTGTTTTTTCACCGTTCTCGTTGCCTTCGCCGCTTAAAGTGATGTTACACGAGACGATTTGCAACAACGATTTTTAGCGCAACACAGCGTTGCAACATTGTTACAAAATTGTTTGGAATAGTTACAACATTGTTCCAACATTGCAATGCTGTGTTGCGCTAAAAATTGTCGTAGCGAATCGTACCATGTAACATCACCTTTATCATTACACGATTTTATATTTTGTTTGAGCAAACTATAATTATTATCGAGAGCTTTTCTTTTAGCCCTGGCTAAATCTATCTATTATAAATCGTTTATCATTTCTGTTAATTTGCGTTTGATAATGGTTACATGTCGTCGCCGAAATGTCATGTTTTTATCGCGCTACTTCTTGCGCCTAAATTTTTTACAAAATCTTTTATTATCAGAAGAATAAAAAGACTAAAAACACTTTACAAAGACGAGAATTGCACAGCACAACGAAAATTTTCCAGATAGAATCTGATGACTATTCTAAGCCTTAGTATGTGATTCTGAGGTGTAAGTGTAACAAGAATGCAACAAGGGATGTTGAAAGCGATAAGCTTTATCAGCTGCCGCCTACAAAGGAGAATATTCACTGAGAGACATGTCCAACTGAACAATCTCCATGAACAACAAGATCCTTGGTACAACAGGGTCTTGGTGCCATTACCTCATCTTTGACATTAATTGGCATGGTTCTTTTGTTCATTATTGCCGGCTAACCCTTCCTTGTTACCTGATATGACTTTTCAATCAGCATTCTGCTCAGCTGTTGAAGATCCACAGAAAACAAATAAAATGTTCTGGATGGAGCATAATCAGAGGCTCGTGGAATTTCCTGTTGGCAAAAAGCAAGTGTAAAATTAAATGGTACAATGTGGTTGGCAGTTGTTAGATGTAGTTAATGCTCCTGTTCACACAGTTCTGACAAGTCCCAACAACAGTAGCCTGCGAGCAAGCTCTCTTTGGTAGGGGAGCTCTGAGGGCGCGCTGGGGCAGGCAAGTTGCTCACAACCTGCAGCAAAAGCGACCTATATAAATGTAATGACGATAACTTTACTAGCTCGGCGTGGGTGCTTAGCTAATCAAGGAGATTAATAAACAGCGACCTTTTCTTTTAGACTAAGAGTCAGAAATTGAATCTATGCACAACCATAGAATTTCTAGCCAGTTATGTTTTGCGAACTCTCAATCTTTCCCCAAAAGAGCACAGACAGTGATTTTCGAGGCACACATATTTAGCTTGAAGGTCGCACTCTAACCCAATCTTTTTATTGTTTTCGTTGCCCAATCTCAAGGTCCTCTATGCAAGAAATACGCTGGCAGAGCAATTAATTTGCGACGAAGATGAAAAATCCCCACGTATACTTCAATGTGGTGAACATGCGCGATCCAATATTGTTCGAGATACTATTTATGGACTCAGTTGCCTCAACAAGCACAATACAAAAGATACCCCAAGCAGTCAAACTTCACTGAACAGCCCCCAACAGCACCCTTGCAACTGGGAGTTGTTTGTTAACAATACTGAATCAAAACAAAACTTAAAAAAGGCATAAACGCTGGTAAAATTTCAAATGGTACCTGCAGCGAAATGAATCTCTCGGCAAATAACTTGTACAACAGCTCTTTGGCATCTTTAGATGGAATCATTGCTAGCTCACCTAACTGGAGTTGAAAACAGATTAGAAATAAGAAAACTTTTAATAAGAATGTGTTCAACCTTTTTACTGGTCACAAGAAAATATTTATCTAGTGGTAGGAGATTGATATTCTTTAGGCATCTTCCCGAGAAAGTTTAGGAAATGAAGATTTACTTACATTGGTCTGCTCTGACATTTGTAAATTTTACAGCTGAGAAATAAAAATCTTCTTGACTGATTTAGTCTCATGAGCTTTAAAGATATAATTATGTATCATTAGTGTAGGCCTTCCGCTGTTCTGAATCAAATCTTTTCCAAATTCACTATTTTTAGAACTTACTTGTTTCTGTTCCATGTGCTTCTTAAGTAACAGCAGTCTGAAGATCCTAAAACATCTGGATCCAAATCTATAATCAACACAAAGGACATTTTCAAAGTCTCTGCATTTGATTAACCCGGATCTACTTGGGATAATGACCAATGTCAGGGTAATTACTCAAAAACTAAAATTATGTTTCTCTTCCCTTTTCAATGACACTACAAGAAAGAAAATGTAATGATAAAAACCATTTCTCGCACCTTTCCTGAACAATGGATTCCACCACATTTTGACAAAGTGTATCAACACACTTCTGCATATCTTTAGCACTCGTTAAGGAAAAATATATAATACTCGATATTTCCAAGACTCGTCCAGGATTGCAAGTTAATGAGATTCATTCTCCTTATGACAGACAACACAAAGTGTCCTCTAGCCCTAACCCTTACCTAAACGAAAGGAATCACTTCTTTTTACATGAGGTCACATGGAAATTAGAAATGATTGTGTCTAATATGAAGTACCTACGTTCCAAGTTTTCTTGCTTTTATGGACATAATTGCAGATAGTAATACTACAACTGAATTCAAGTGCCAAAAATCAGTACTATGACTGCCTTGTGTGAACAAATTACCTCAGGTCTGTTAGCATAGTTCTTGCAATTGCAGGCTTTCTTCCTGCTGTTCTTTACTACGAACCAACAATGTTTATAGAAAAATAATCTGTTCCAGGTTATCAGTGAGCAGGAAGCCTTTTTGGCAAAGCAAAATTGTCTAACATTCCACTCAGTCAAACTCTTGATCTTTAAACCAGACCTTAAATAGATTTAAAACGTGTATGCATTTTAAAGGCCAGGTCTTAAAATGGGTGTATGAAATTGTAATATGACGTTTTTTGGTCTGAAATAGGGTCAGGATTTGGAGAACCGGGTGGCACACCCCCTCCAAGAATTCCCAGGAGTACCCCCACTCCCTGAGTATGCGACTAGCCCTCGATGTGCGACTGCTTATAACAAAAGGATACTGATGCAGTACATTCCTCCTCCACTCTCTCCGGTTTTTGAAACTAAATTATCCTGGTAAAAAGGAAATAATAATAACATTTAACTGCAAGATTTATGGCACTTCAAATATCAAATGATTGCATAACTGAGTAAGACATTTCAGTGTAGATTTGATATGATACCTAATAATAACACAGTACGCTTTTTCCTTGCAATCCTCATACCATTTGTCTGCCTTCTCTAACATTAGGGACCTTATTATCCAATGACGCGACTAAAACAGTCAGCTCCAGAAAAAATTGCCAACATTTGACGAATTGAACGAGATGGATAAGCGCGACTTCACTTCTTAAGGTGACTCGACCCAGTTTTTTTTGGGGGGTACCATCCTACTTTGAAGCTCTCTGGTATCCCCACCTTTACTTTTATCGTAAGTCTAACACATAGAATGGATAACCTATAGATCAATCTACAATATAACATAAAATATTTGGCGATCGGAGTAAATGTCACGTGGTTATAATGCCACGCCCCTTTAAGGTCTGAGTCGAAAATCTGCTGTTGCAGGCATTTTTTCGTGAAAATCTCTCGGCTACACATAGCGCGCATTAGTGCCTTGCGCTGAACAGAGTTTCACCAAAATCGCAAAGACCCAATTCAAGAAATTCAGCGGTTTCCAAATTTAGGTCATAATTTATGCGAAAATGATAAGCAAACTTTACACGGATTATATCTAATAAACTATGAGATTCATCTCTTTATTTTGGGCATCGTTATAACAGATGGGTCCTTGCAAGTCAGCAAAACGCTTTAGGGCCTTGTAAATGCGCGCGATTTCGAGCAAAGCAAACATATAGAAATTATAGTTTTCGCTATTTGTTGACGTTTGTCAGCGTTTAAGAGTCCTTCTCACGAAAAAAGCATTTTCTTAAAAATTCGTAGTTTTTTTTCCTTCAAATTTTTTCAGGGCCACAATTGATTAACTAACTACCCGGACTCTGAATTTCATGGTCATTGAAAAACTGTGACATTATCTTCTATAAGCCCAAACTTGAGTAAACATTGAAGATTTTTAGCGTTTTGGCTGAGTTTGTGCTTTGGGAGTTGTCTATTGTTTCTAGTCTGTCATTATACAGCATTCTTGTTCAGCACGCGTGCAATGACCGCGCTTGGCTGACTTCCGAATGCTCACCGAGATATAATAATTTTGGTACAGTGAGACAGGCCATCGCGTGATACATAGAGGTTTAAGTCACAATTTTTAATCAATTCTCGTGCTTCTTGTGCCTTTGCAAAAAAATCAAGAAGTGCTACACACTAAATCTACTTACTATTAAAAAAATATCATTTTTTCATAGGTTTAATGCAAGCCAATAATTAAACCAACTCGTGACGGGAATATCTCGGTGAGCATTCGGAAGTCAGCCAAGCGTGGTCATTGCACGCGTGCTGAACAAGAATGCTGTATAATGACAGACTAGAAACAATAGACAACTCCCAAAGCACAAACTCAGCCAAAACGCTAAAAATCTTCAATGTTTACTCAAGTTTGGGCTTATAGAAGATAATGTCACAGTTTTTCAATGACCATGAAATTCAGAGTCCGGGTAGTTAGTTAATCAATTGTGGCCCTGAAAAAATTTGAAGGAAAAAAAACTACGAATTTTTAAGAAAATGCTTTTTTCGTGAGAAGGACTCTTAAACGCTGACAAACGTCAACAAATAGCGAAAACTATAATTTCTATATGTTTGCTTTGCTCGAAATCGCGCGCATTTACAAGGCCCTAAAGCGTTTTGCTGACTTGCAAGGACCCATCTGTTATAACGATGCCCAAAATAAAGAGATGAATCTCATAGTTTATTAGATATAATCCGTGTAAAGTTTGCTTATCATTTTCGCATAAATTATGACCTAAATTTGGAAACCGCTGAATTTCTCGAATTGGGTCTTTGCGATTTTGGTGAAACTCTGTTCAGCGCAAGGCACTAATGCGCGCTATGTGTAGCCGAGAGATTTTCACGAAAAAATGCCTGCAACAGCAGATTTTCGACTCAGACCTTAAAGGGGCGTGGCATTATAACTACGTGACATTTACTCCGATCGCCAAATATTTTATGTTATATTGTAGATTGATCTATAGGTTATCCATTCTATGTGTTAGACTTACGATAAAAGTAAAGGTGGGGATACCAGACAACTTCAAAGTAGGATGGTACCCCCCCAAAAAAACTGGGTCGAGTCACCTTAAATGACGTCTTCGTAGCCGTCGCCGCCATTGCCGTTGCTTGAGCTCCCTATTACTGATTCTTTTTATGTGCTTTTAAGCCTTAAGTGTGCAGTAGTGTGCTATACAAAAAGTTTCATCCCTTCCCCACTATTGAAGCTAGGTGTTAATTCATGTGTTGAGGCGAGGTTCAAATTTCTGTAGTTGAATTTAATCAATGCTAATTACTGCTTTATCTTCAATTGTTTTGTTCCTAGGAGGTAGTTCACTAAAAAATCAAGAAAAAGCTGGAACACTACAAGTAAATACCTTCTCATCTGTAAGCAAGGAAAGATACTGAGTGATCTCGGTCTTCTCCATTTTGGGGGTGATTGACAAGTTTTGTGAAATCTGTCAATAAAATAAAATATTGTCAACATAAAATTAACTAGCATGGAATGAAAGATGGTAACATCTAAGTGTCTCATGGAATTAGCCTTGAGTTGATCCAAAAAGCTCATGCCTGTTCCTTCAACACATAGCGAATGGAAGCACCCTACCACCCAGGAGTGGAAATGTCATTCCGTTACAAGATAATAGTCCTGTCAGTTTCATAACCACAAGCCTGTTCCAGGCCCAAGTTGTGCGCGTCTTATTTTCGCTTTGCTCATTTTAATACGTTCCCACTATACTATCTGAGAGCCTGGCACAGGCTATATAGCCACAGAAACAGGCTAACAAACTACATTACAACTATACATTGTGCTGCAAGAAACTTAGGGGCTGAAAAGAAGGTTATCACCTCCTTCCTGCATCTATTTTTCCTACAAGTAATGCCTGTACACCAAATGCAGATAGAATCACACACAAATTAAACAGAAAGCAAAATAACAACAGATTTTCAAGATCAAGCTGCCAATTTCATTTACAATGGAGGCACAGTGGTCTAGCCGTTGACACATCAGATATTTTGACTATGGTCAAGCCTTGTAAATACATTGTTCAACATGTCGCAACGACACGTTGCAGCGACAAATTTCCTCATGTGTACTGGATAATTCTGTGAAAATCTTTGTCTCTGCAGCAGAATTTTGTTGCAGCAACATGTTGCTGCAACTAGTCGCCAGACCTGTACACACAAAGTGCTCAGTCGCCGCGACTTGTTGCTGCAACTTGTCGCCTAGTGTGTACGGACCTTTACTTTAGGCTAAAAACTTTGCTCTAGTTTTCCCCTTTCTATCCCTATGTATAAAGGGTCATAAAGCGGTACATAAAAGCAAATAAATATAAACTAAAGAAGTTATTACCTGATGGAGTGATACAGACTGTGATGTTGGTGACAATGGATCTCTTTCCAGCTCACTTATCTTTAACATTGCATTGACAATCTCGCCTGCAAACTAAAGGTTCATTATAATATAACTAGGTATACCTATTGATAGAGTGCCAATGAGCGAATCATGCGTATTTTGCTTAGGAATAAAATTCCTTTTTTTTTTCCCCATTTGACCGTTTCTTGGGCCCTTCCTCTTGTAAGGATTATTTTCTTGAAAAGGTGTTATGCATGTAATTACTTTATGAGGTTCCGGAGGAGAGTCAGTTCTCAGATTCAGTCTGGTGGCTTTACAAACCTGCTGTGTAAAAGAGTGAAGTGTCATGAGGGATCCTTTTTGAAAGAATAAAATCAGCTTTGCAGAGGAAGCGATCGGCAATATTATTAAGTCCAGCTACAAATCTACTGTCGGTTCGGTTTCACATCGCAGATAAATATTTGCACAGTTTAATCATTTAAACTACCTTTCAAATTTCCCGAGGCTTTTTGTTACCCGACTGAAACTTAGAATGATTCCCTGCGCTATTTGAAATGTTTCCCAGGACATGCAATGTATGGCACGTCGGTATTTTATTTCATGGCTTTATAAACTCGGCCAGGTTTCGAAAAAAATGCTTTGTTTTCTTTTCCTTTGTCGTTCGCTTTAGGCTTGGAATTCGCTTTTATTCTCATTTTTTTAAGTTGGCTGGTTAGATTTTTTCCCCTACACCAGGTTTTCCAACAGAAGCGACCGTATTCTTCGTGTCAAGCTTTCCTTATCTCCTCGTGTAATCTGATCCTTTTTAGTGGTGAGAATAATGTGTGTTGCATATGGAATACTTTTGCTGTTTTACAAACTTCTCTTTGTTAAAACTTACCATTATGGCCCCTAAAATTAATACAGTATATATCAAGTGCTCATGTTTCTTGACTACAGTGGCCAGGTTTGACAAATAAATTTAGGTAAATAAACACAGGAAGTCGAGACGGCGGGAATGGTGTGAAATTTTGTATTTTAAAAAGCGTGCCACATTCAACTTTAGCCCATGCGATAGGTACTGCCTTTTGATTGGTTGACAACTGACCACTTGGTCTCAGGGGAATCTACATTACACCAGGTTACACATTTTTCAGCTCGATCGAGAATTTTTCTGCCTCTCAACCCAGTCTTGCGCGGCTCTATTCTGCTGCCGCCTCGCCATCCAAGCGTCTTCGCTCGGATGGCTCGTTGGCAATTATTCCTCACTGCTAAATATGAATGTGTTAATAAAGACATGAACCACGATAGAGTTTTAAATGTAATTTATTTACACACAGAAATACCTTGTCAACTTTATTTGTCACAGCTGAAACAATATCCTAAAAAAGAAGATAAAAGATTTGTGGATACAACAACTACATATTGAACACTGCTTTTCTATTCAAAAAATTAATAAAGTTTGATGCTCTCAGGCCTAGCTCTCATAATAATATAATGATGAGTAGTAGTCACAGCTAGATACCACATACGATCTACTAACTCTGTGATAATCCTGGCACTTTGTTCCATACTTTTGTCATTCTCTTTCACACAAGTTGCTTTGATCCATTAAACTGAAGTCATGGAACAGATGGACTACTAGGGTACTTACCATTTACATGGAAAAACCAGAAAATCCTGTTAGAATATTAAATGGTTCGTGCCATTTGGTTTGGGAAGCTTCAGAAAATAATGGCTGTGATTTGAGGTGTTGCAATTTTCCTACTCTTTTTAGTCTGTTAAGCTGATTTGGATATACTCTTTTGCAGGTTGTTCTCCAACCACATCAAATTTTCTAGTTTTATATTTATGTACAAGATTTCCACAAGAGTGGTTTGTGTAAATGTTAAGCCCCCCTGCTTATGAAGAGAGAATGAGAAACAACGGACTAAAAAACCGACAAAAATCTAAGCAACAAGAAGCCTTGTTCATCGAAAGCCAGAAGAAGAACAAGCATTCCTCCAGAATATTACTCTTTGTTCATGCTGGAAAAACAACAGCCCAAGAATAAAAAAAGCCTATGTGAGGCCAAACTGATTCCAGTGCACATTCATGCTGCTAACAAAAATAACATCAAGATGATAGGCACCATCATCTTGTGATTCTATGACAGCTCCAAATGCAGACAAAATCTCAAGTGGATTGTCTATGTTATGGGTGATGCTGACAAACTATCCCTGAGCCAGGAGAGTTGCACAGCCCTGGGCAGGTTCTCTTTGCACTTCCTAACTATGGATGAAGCCCTGTACTTAACACCAGCAACAAAACCGGACAAGGTATCTGAAGCAACAGGAAAACTAACCCATGCACTGTATCATATCCACCTAAGAGTGCATTGAGCTTGCCTTGTAACTCTCCACATCACCAGTTCCCACTGCCTTGACCAACTCGTCTACCATTCCCAGCAATAAAGGATAACTTGCAGTGCCTTAAACAATGCCTCCTGAATTACTACAAGTCCAACGTGCTTGATTCATGTGAACACCAACTCCTCCTCTGACAAAGGGCATACCTATAAGTGTTATGGTTGTTCTCACAGTGACAATAATTGTCCACTACACCATGTCCCAGTTCCACTTCACAAGCAGGTAGATGTGAAAGCTGGCCTTGACGAAGATGTAGCATTGGATGTCCTTGAGCCAGTAGCAATGGAGTGAAGTCATCAAACAGTTGTAGGATGATCACCACCTTGACACCTTCATCACTCCATGGGGAAGGTACTACTAGCAACATCACAGACCTACCCACTTGGTTCTGAATCATCATCCAGTTTTCTATGATGCCTCCAGTGCTACAGAACACAGGCTACCTCAACCCAGGCACACCAGTTTCGTTGGGTAAAGAGCTCAATAGACTTTTTGAAGAATCTATATCGATTATCGTCAGTGAGATTAAAGAGGGTGTCTGAATCTTTGATACATCAAAACCACCTTGCCTAGCCATCAACTTGCAAAGGATACGGTATCAGGTCCTGGCTCAGAAACACTATAAATATCCATTCACAGAACCCTTTACTACTGCACAAGCTGGAAATTAACACTTTTTGGCAGCCACTTCACTCATGCTGCTGATTCATCTATGCACCAGTCCAGGGAAAGATCCTAGAGGTAGTAGATGCCCTCAACAATTGTAGCATCCTGATTATTATTGTGGACCACAAGCCAATACAGAAAGTGTTTGATGATCGATTTCTTGATGAAATCTCCAATGCCTGCCTGCCCAACCACAAAGAGAAGACAGTATGCTAACAATTTCACAATGCACATTTTCCTGTTGTACTACATGAGGCTGCCAGTGCTTTCTCCTGCCATCCTACTGGCCCAAAATGATGTTTCTACCAGATGACATAACAGCCTCAGCTACTTTGGTTGCTCTGCTCCCCTTGACCCCTCTGCCCACTCATTTATGGATTGCATGAGCTTAGCCTAATTCCAAGCAGCGTCAATCCTTAATTAGCACCAGTGATGAACCCCTGGGTTCATCAGCTTCCTCAGCGCTAAGTACTATGGCAATCATGTGGGACAGCGTCCAACAAACAACAACCAGGGACAAAGAGATGGCCCAGCTGGTCTCCATTTCAATTTTGCCAAGATCTCCATCCTTCCCTCCAGGGGTGCTATCAGTTCTGGAAACATCTGTGCATTGCCAATGGTCTCATCCTCTGCAAGGACCATATAGGTGTAACAACTTCACTCAGAACACATATCTATATAACCCACTCAATTCAATACATCAAGGAAACTACTGTATTCTGGCCATGCATCACTCCAGCTATCATGGACCTGGTGGCAAATTTTACCCACTGCAAACACATGGCACTGTCACAACCTAGTGCTACACTAGTGCATACTTTAAGTACATATTGGCTGATTTCTTCCGGTGAACTACCTTACTGTTGTGGGCTGCAACTTAAACTCACACATCATTGAATGGGCACAAGGGGGCTTTAAGGGCTGATTGACTGAATCATGTTTGATGCACATTTGTGATGTTTTGTATCCCTAATGAAAGTGCCATTGACATCAACAACTTTCATTTGGGCATTTCCACACTCAAACAGAAGGGAAGAAGCGAAAACTGTTAAACTGCTCATCATCAACAACAGACCCCAATGGCAACCTAAACACTGACCCACAACAGCCTAGATACTGACTACATGCCATCCTCCAGTATCCCAGCACTACTTAGCCAAACACCCAGCTATCCTCCACCAAGTGCACATTTGGCAGACTAATCAAGGACTTCAGGAAATAAACCCAAGCGCACACACAGCCACCCAGATGCACCATTGATAACAGTCACCAACACATCAACATGTTACCACTAAAGCCTGACCCCACTTCACCCCATTGCCAGAATCATCCTCTATGCCAACCCCACAAGAATCTGTTCAGCCTCTTATGGCTCCTTTGCCAAGACCACCAGTAGGAGCTAGCTCATTGGACCAGACCTCACATGCAACTCCAACAACCAAATGGTCCAGCCCCTGGCTTCTGCCGATCCTCTACTTGCAAGCCCAACTGCACCTCCTGCTGAGTCCCTAGCCACTAGAGAAACCTCTCTTAGCCATGTGGTGACTAGTGGACTACAACAAGACAGGCCTCAAGGAAAACTGAACACTAAACACTTTCAGACAATATTAGGAATATTAGGCCGGAAACATTTCTATTTTGTGATGTCAGGTGATGTTGAAGTAACCAATGAGAGTGTGCACACACCTGGATAAAATTCTAGGTATATAACGATAATAATAATAATTACATTTAAGACACTCAATAAAAAATTAACACCTTTCACTCTTCCTGCAAGATTTTTAGTGCTTTAAGGTACTTATTAACAAACACATTGCGTGTGAATCCTTACCATGTCAATAAAGTGCTGATGAAACCTGGGGAAATTCACTTTCCACAAGATCCCTTCATCTTTAATTTCCTGAAATATAATACAAACATTATCTGAGACAATATATATACAGTCCTCCACAGCACTTTGAACACTAAAAGGATTTGAAAAAATTTTAACTTTGTTAATACTTACAGAAGCTCCTTTACTGCAAGACAGACTAGAAATAAAAAAATATGTGTTGGACTCATCAACAGATATTTACAAGCAAAATATGAGAACATTTTACTTGACATGGGTGGTTGATAACCAACCTTGCCTCTGTTTTCTGCTTCTTAGTTGGTTGGCCGCCATCTTCGATAGTCCTTTTTCGTTTTGCCCCAGGTCCTAAAAAGTATATTAAATCTATTAACCCTTGACCAACATAAATTTTCTCCTAATGATATCTATACATTGTCTAGAGATTAGGTTATGAGAACTAATAAAATGATCACCAAAGAGAAAATGCCTTGATCTTTTATCAAATTCTCTCCACTCACTCTTTGAGAGAATGTATAGAGATCAGTTTGGAGAATTTGTACATGTACAGTGTATATGTACAATGTATTTTGGGGCTTTAAGTTAACTATAAAGATCATGTGTCCTGTGGGTAATCTTGCCATGTCTGTTTTACATCAAATTTGTACCTGTTCCAGCACAAAGAGCATTTATCTATACGGTCAAACCTCTATAAAGCGGTCACCCTCAGCAATTAGCCAGGTGACCGCTCAATCAGCGACAAAGTTAGTTGAGACACTTCACCCTAAAAGGGGTTGTCTGACATTTTACTGACTTCAAAAGGAGAACATAAAGCTTTTCCTCCCCCATCCCATCCACGCAATGTTGTGTCTCTGTTCAAGCTACCTACAGAAAACAACGAACATCCCAACTTTGAATGGAGAGGAGGGGGGAGGGGGAAGGGGTGTGGATTCTTTTGCTCTCTGAAGTTACCCTATTTTAGGACAATTTTGTCTCCTGATTGGTTTAATAGAGGTTGACTGCTTAATAGAGGTTTTCCAAAATTAAGCCCATAATGTGGCAGAAATTGACATAGAGGGCAACATTTATCACAATACAATAATTATTGTTCACAACAATAGAAACGGGAAATATGATAAAAGTATTTGGAAGTTCTGAGGTGTTCATACCTAAAAATAAATTGTACAGTAATGTAATTCGTCATTAAGTGTCTTTTCGATCAAACACATCATCTGCATTTATTTTAAAACCTCATTCAACATGAAGAGAGAGATGTGTATTTAATTTACGTAGATTACAATGTTACCTATGTTGCGTTTGATGAACTGTGAAAGAAACTGGAAATGCTTCACTTATCTTCATGTTAAAAAATATGCTATTTTTTATTAACTGCTATGTAACAAGGTAACCATCTAACAGAGGTAAATTACAATGAAATCAGCCATTTGGGAAACCCAAATGGTGACCACATCTGCTTAATAGAGGTGACTGTTGAATGGAGGTGAAATTTACAGTAAATATGGGAAGCAGATTTGGGAAATTGAAAGGTGACCTCTTAATAGAGGTTTGACTGTACTACACTCATAGAGAGTATTTTGGTACTTTCAACACTTTTTAGTTCTTATGGCAACATTTTTACAAACAATCCATTAATTTTATTTTCTGAACTGAAGCCTCTTTTTCATATCAGGGGTCAGTAGAACTGGGGTTAAGGATTTGCACATACCGTATTTATTCGACTATAAGCCCAGACCCCAAACTTTGAACGTGTAGACTCGGCATAACCAGAACCAAAAATAAATCGAAAACTCCCGGCTATAAGCCGAGACCCATGCATTATTACAAGACTGAATTGCTAACTACAGGAAAACCTAACATTTTCGGAAAAAAATCACATCGATTGTCATAAATGAGGCTTAGACGATAACACACATGCGCGTATACAAGAGATGCAATGGTGATTTATTATGCAAAAAGCTTCCCTCTTAGAAAACATACGCGAATTAATAAATATTACCCCTAACTAACTATTCAATTGAAAAGCAATGAATCTTAATTCAGATGAATTAATGTGATCCAAAAAATGAATTTAAAACTAACTGTGTTGTTAAGCAGCATCACCAGTACCTAGACATCCGTAGCGTCTATCAAACAATCTTTCGGCTATAAGCCGAGACCCCCTCTAGAGCCCAAATTTTAATTCACTTCAGTTTTAATTTGTGTAAAAATTGCTCGGCTTATAGTCAAATAAATACGGTAGTAACAGCTGATAGAATGGTTTGGAAAGTAGTACTGCAGAGAATCTTAGTAGAGACTCAAGGCTGCTAATGACGATGTTTCGGATGTTCCCTTGCTAACAGTCCAGAACAAGAATTTCTGCACTGATTTACAGCATATTCAGCATAGATACTTTGTAGGAAACCAAACAGTACCAAACGTCAAATGACTCTGAAGACTAGAAATAGCATTAGGAAACTGAGTGAGTTTAGTTCCAGTTAAGTTTTCCCTGTATAATGATCCTAACTGAAACTTGACATGTATCCTCAGTTTTCTTAACCAAATCACTAAACTTCAGTTTCACTGGACACCATTCCACATTCGTAAAAATCCCCCAACCATAACATTAACCTTAAATTATTATACCTGCAACACAGGCTACAATGGTTATGCATCTATACATCACCTTGAAAGTTCACTCCAGGGGGGAGGGTATACAAATCAGTTTCACAGTAGCTATTTGTGTCAATGATGTCTTCATGAGGTGATTGCACTCTTTGCAGAAAATGTTTCTTTACAAGATCAGCAAATGTTGCATTGACTTCATATTCATCTACGTCTAGGTTATCTTCCACCAAATGGTTCAAAACTTTGGAGACAACTTTGCTCATGGCTACTGTTCCATGTTGTAAAACTTCATCCACAATCAACTCTCCTGTGTATCCAAACAAAGACTTTGCACAATAGATAAACCGAGGAGCCCGAGCACGAAGAAGTGTATTTGATATCCATGCATTATACAAGGTAACGTTCTTTTTGTTGACTTCAAACGTGACAAAATGATGCTGTATAAGGCAACACAAAGACTTTTGAACTTGGTCACGAGATAACTTAGTGTCATGAATAATATCTCTCAAAGGACGAGGACCTTTTGCAAAAAGATAGGTCCCGACCTTTTCTACGATTTCTCCGTAGTGTTCTTTTAAAATAAAAGCGGCTACTCGCTTTTGCTGGACTGACATAGCACCTTGCTTTCCCACAGCTATTTACTCAAAGTCGCCGTGGTGGTGCCCGCCATTTTCGCTCCTGCAATTAATTTGATCAGCGAAAACCTACATCGCTAAGTTCTGATTGGTAGACGATTGGTAGACGATTGGTAGACTTCGAAGGCAAGCAGCCAATCAAATACTCGGAAGAATTCACCTTTTCCTTAAGTTTATAGCAGAGTTGTAGACAACTTGTTTAGCTTTGTTTATAAACTGGCAAAATCACAAAAACGGAAGAAGAGAGATCGCAAGCCTTTTAAGATCGAACATGTATTTTCCATCTCTGTTACTTAATAACGCTGGAGGCTGTAGGTAATCTTTGTAGTTTGGGTTTGCGTGATCATCTTCAACGAAAGTGATTTTAATGACACGTTAGTATTTATTTTAAGCTTATTACAAGTAAGATATTTTTACAGCTGTTCACCTGAGGATTCCTTTGATATAACTAAGAAAACTTTCTTATGGAGGGCATGGTGTTTCCAAGACTTTTGCGCTAACGAAATGACGTTTGGAAAACGTGAAAAAATCTGGAAGCACATGTTAATTAGAGAATGGCCAAACGGAGAAACCGCTCCCTCCAATATTGATGTTGATAACTAATTGATTATTTTCTGAATAACGTAGTGTAGTCGGTGTAATGAAGCTCGTGATAGCTGATTTCCTTGTGACTTATCTATTTCACAGGGAAGTTGAGTAGGGCGCTTCATGTATTAGTAAAGGGGGGCACTTGCATATTGGATGCTAGCATGCCGGCTGCTATTGTCTATTTGAACTGTTTTTTAGTCACTGACAGTAGGCAAGACTGAAATGGACAGCGTTTCATGCTACTGTGACAAGTTTCAAATAATTTCATAGGACAGGTAACAATAAAATTGTAAAGAAAAATGTCCCTTAGTGGCTGGGTTTCCAAAGAGGCTGTTCAGACAATGAACTGCACAGTTTTATGTACTTGTTTTTATTTTAGGAACACCAATCAAGTAACAGTCAGATTTCAAGGATTATTTCCCCTGGATGTCCACAAGAACTGCCACAATTAGATGCCCCGGGTGTGGTCAGGAGATCATGCGAGGTGCGGCATTAGAGTGTACCTTTAAACCCAGTGTCCAGGCCTCAACATATCGAACTTTTGATTCACCTCAAGAAAGGGACTGGCTCTGCATGGAATGCAAATACATTGTTGAAAATCACTATGGGGATCTCTCTTCTGTGACATCAGAGGATGCTTATACATTACTGTATAGTGTCAGGATCAAAAAGGGATCCAGTTGTTCATGCTGCAGTTCTTGTATAATAACATAGCTTAATAATTATTTTATGGAATCAAAAATGTACTTTTGCAATGGTGGAGCAAAGATAGCCTTTATGTGTGAACATTCCATACAGTTTTATTTTTCATTTGTAAGAAAAGCCTATTCAAAAACCATTACAGTTAAACCTCATTCAAAAGGATCCATCGACTATATCTGTATTGGATGGGGTGTTTGTATTAACCAAGTCAAGTAACTTAAAATCAAAAGTAAACATTTAACAGTTTTAGCCAAACTGAAGAGGTTTGAATAAACGAAACTTGTCTTAAGGCTAAAATAAAGACTAGTGCGTGAAAGACTATTCGTAAAACTCCGTACAATAGTTATGAGGATTAAACATTTAACTGGAACAATATTTCAAATAATACAAAAAAAAGTTGCCCACATGTAATGTACTTTGAAATATGTGTTATTGACTAAGGGGATGCATATTGGCCAAGTTTTTTTTTTCTGCATTTTATAGACCGAGACAAAGTTGAGGTTCATAAAAGGCAAAAAAAAAAGAATGAGGCCAATATATTTACCGCACAAGCTTGCTGTCAATAAAGGGTTACTATCTGGCAAAAAGCTGGGAACTTTTCCCTGTGGGACCAATGCAGGAGATTCCAGGCAGCAAGATATAAAGCTCACTTGCCAGCTTAAGTAGCCAATCAGAACATGGGATTGCTTTGCAGATTCCGCCATGCAATAAGTTATTTATTACATAATAGAACTTGAGGGAGCTCTTGAGAGACCTCTTTTGTCACCAAAATAGTATTAATTTAAATTTGTTGACATCTAGACTTATTACCTTTGTGAAAATCAATATATTATGAGTGTCATCTCAAGGTTTTTTCTCCACAAGAAGCAAACCTTTTTGCGGAACCCAGTTGATAAATAGTATTCGTATTAGTGAGGTTAAAATTCTGCAAAATCTGTTGATTAGGTATCAAGTGATGTGCGCAAAAAAAATACATCCATATTACTGTCAAAGTCAGGAAACTGTGAAGACCTAAAATATTTCAGGAATGTTTGGTATGTTGTGACTTTTTAATATCACACCAGAGATCAAGACATTCAAGCAAGCTACAAAACCACAAATTAATTGCAGTTGTTGCTTGCGCTTTAGCTTGAGCTGTAGCTTTCTCACACATGTTGACTTTTTTTCACAATAACATTTCACAGACATTATTTCTGGTGTACACTGTTTTCTAACTTTCACAGTAAGGGCACAGTAAGCTGGTGTCTGTAATGGGGGAGTTCAACTGAATTTAGAAGTAAAGCTTGTGAATGTACATATAACTCTTAAGTTCTAAAACTCATGTGAGCATCTTTTCATTTAAGGAAAAGACAATGTATAGTATTATTACACAGCAGATTGTCAAACTACAGCTGAGAGCAAAGGATCTGGATATGTATGATTAATTTAAATAAAGGATTGGCAGTGACAGCTGAATAATGAATTTCTTGTTTGCTAGCCAGTTAAACAGATAATTATATTTCACTTAAGAGTTAATACTCTTTATCTTGGCAACTAAGGATAAACAAAAGCTCTTCTAAAAATTTTGAAACCCTTACAACCTGCTGGACCAAGAGCTGTCCTCCAGCCTTTCAAATATCCCCAACCATCAACAGCTATCCGCAAGCTTGCAGGACTCATAGCTGCATGTCCTCTAGGCTGCAGGACCAACAGCTGTCCACTAGGTACCAGGACCTGGAACTGTCCCTCTGCCTGCAGGACCCACAGCTGTCTTTCAGGCTGCAGGACCGACAGCTGTTCTCCACCTTTTGCAGCACCAGGAATTTCCATTACCTGCATGACCACAGGCTTTTCTCCAGTCAGGAGGACCACGGGCTAAACTCACAACCTGCAGGATCTAGGGGTAAAACCCACATCCTCTAAGTCTAACATCACTTCAAAGCTTACTCAAATAGTTAGACACAGCTCAGGATTCAGGTTTTCATGTGATTCCACAATCAATTGTGCCAAACCTTCAGGACCAAGAGCTGTACCTCAGACTACAGCACCAATAGCTGTCCACAGGCCTGCGGGAACCATAGCTGTCCTTAAGACTCAGGACCAACAACTGTCTTCTATCCAACAGGGCCAAGAGGTGTCCTCAAAGCTGCAGGACCAAGAGATTTTCTTCAGCCTGCAGGACCCACAGGTATCCTCTAACCTGAACGACCAAGAGCTGTCCACCAGCTGCAAGAACCGCGACTATCCCCCAACCTGCAGGACCAAAAGCTGTCCTCCAGCCTGCAGGACCATCAGCTGTCCCTAAGCCTGAAGGATCCACAGCTGTCCACCAGGTTGCAGGACCAACAGCTGTCCTCTGGCTAAGAGGACCAAGAGCCTTCCTCCAGGCTGCAGGACCAAGAGCTGTCCTTCTGCCTACAGCAAGAAGAGCTCTCTGTCAGGTAGTAGCACCACAGCTGTCTTCCAGGCTGCAAGACCAACAGCTATCCTCTATCCTGCGGGACCAAGAGCCTTCTTCAAGCCCGCAGACCAACAGCTGTCCTAAGCCCTGCAGGACCCACAGGTGTTCTCCAGAACTGTCCTCCATCCAACATGGTCAAGAGCTATCCTCCAGACAGCAGGACAAAGAACTGTCCTTTAGCCTACAGCACCAAGAGCTTTCCCTCAGCCTGTAAGACCCTGAGCAGTTCTCCGGCCTGCAGAACCCACTGCAAGACAGAGCTGTCACCTAGCCTGTAACTCTAACCTGTCCTTCAGCCTGCAGGACCAACAGCTGTCCTTATGCCTGCAGGGTCCACAGCTGTCCTGCAGCCACCAGGACCAGCCAACATTGCCAAGCTACATTGTAGGTCCTCCAGGCTGCAGGATCTAGGACCAAGCTGAAGAATCAAGGCCTACTGTCATCATAACCCTAGGCTCAAAGGCTGTTTCCCAGCTTTCAGGCAGTATAGGAGGATTGTTTTCACAATTTGCAAGTCCAAGGATCTCATTTTTACCCATAGGACCAAAAGCTGTTCTCCAGTCTGAAGGTCTAAGGGTTAAAATCAAAACCTGCCGGGCCACAAGCTAAACCACACACACTGCATGTCCAATAGCATTCCATAGCTATACTCAAACCATTTAATACTTGTAGTGCATAGTGATGCCCGCATGTGGAAATGAATGCAAGTGATGTAATACACTCGAGACCTACAGAATTTTCATGTAAATATATATATAAAAGCATGAGTTAAATTTATTCTGTTGGTTTTTTTTGGTTTAGAGTAAGTATGTAACGGACGTGAATAAACGACGTTTAACTTTACCACGGTGTACTACAGTACTATTCAGATTTTAATGCAATTCTGGACATCCCTTTTACTGCGCTTCATTTCACATCTCCTGCTTGTTCAGTAGCTTAAAGTTATCACAGTTGTGCGGAGTTTATGCCCCTTGGTGCACTTGTAAATACCCAAATGCACAGCTTTAAAAAAATGTTGCACAAATATCGGGTTAATTAGATTGGCATGCAAAGAAGTTGTAACATGTAATCAGAATCTGGATTTAAAGTACAGTGGAAATAAGATATCGTTTTTCTTTGTGTATTTTTTATTTCAGAGGCAAATCATAATATTATTATTTCAACTTGAAAACTTGTGTGACAGCTTAAATCTGTAATATAGTTCCTCAATAATAAAGTTGCATGTTCAATAAATATCTTTCAGACTTGT